TGGAAATTGAGGGGATGTCCATCAGTTGGGGAATGGCTGCACAAGTTGTGGTATATGAATGTAATAGAATACTATTATGCTCTAAGAAATGATGAGGAGGCAGATTTCAGAAAAACCTGGAAAGACTGATGCTTAGTGAAGTGAGCAGAACCATGAGAACATTCTACACAGTAACAGCAACATTGTGTGAGGATCAACTTTGGTAGAAAGGCTCTTTTCAGCAATCTAAGACAATTCCAAAAGACTCATGACAGAAAATGATATCCACATCCAGAGTAGAGTCTGAATGCAGATTGATATTTTTACTTTTTTTGGTTTTTTGTTTTTGTGGGGGAAATACAACACATACACAGCACATACACAAGTACAGTTGTCCCTTACACATCATGACTTTCCCTATTGTAGTTTTGATATATCATGGGTCAGCATAAGAAATTAAATGAGACTTTGGGGGGAGTTTTGAGGAAGGCACAGAAGACATATGAAGACCAGCAGATGACTCAGAAAAAGTTTAGAACCTCAGAAATGCATAAAATATATGTATAGTATTGTAAAATATCAACCCAAATTTTACAATAAGGTATTATAAACACCCTATAAAAGAAAAGAAAAATTCAGACTTCTTCTCTGGTATGAAGGGAGAGCCAAAAAATTTTACATGGATTTCCCAGATCCTGAGGCACCATACCTCTAACCTTTAACCGCCCCCCCCCCCACTCCCATGTGGAAAGGATAACTGTAAGTACAAAATCTATGCAGTCCTAAGCTTTGGGTTTATACAAATCAGTCTCAATCTTTGGGACTACTCCTTAAATCCATATCCCTTTAGTTTATTATGCTCCACATTCTAGATCAGAGGTTCCCAAACTTATTTGGCCTACTGTTCCCTTTTCAAAAAGAAAAAAATGACTCAGCACCCCTTTGGAAATCTACTTTCTTTAACTCTGTAACAGTTTTTTTTTTAATTGCATCATTTCAGAAAACATTTTTTTGAAACAATGCTTCTTAAATTTAGTAACTTATTGTTAATTTGTAATTTTTTCCCTGCATTGAAATTTTGATGATAAGATATTGCATCATGTAACGGTATCACAAACAAGTCATTACACACACATATTCCTGCCCATGCGTGCTAGACTTCCCAACAATGCACAACATGTTCACCTGCCAACACTTGCTTGTTAAGACCTGTCAGCAGACTTGACCACTGACAGGTTATAACTTGCATTTTTGTGTATTTATTCAGAAAATAATGTAATCACTATGCCTTTAACTCTGTTACACAACAGATGAAACATATACAAATGGTTTTTCAGAATTTTTTATCATCTCTTCTTTCCCTTTGCTTCCATTGTCCCCTTATTTTTATGCAACACCCCCCAGTTGCACCTGAGGCTACTACTGCCCCCGGATATGCTCTAGATTATTCTAGAAATTTCAGAATATAGCTTATTTATAGCTCAAATCTATCGTGAGTCTATAATTGTATTCTAGGGCAGCTAGGTGGTACAGGGGATAGAGTGCCAGGCCTAGAGTCAGGAAGATTCATCTTCCTTATCCAAATCCGGCCTCAGACACTTACTAGCTATGTGACCTTGGGTGAGTCATTTAACTCTGTTTGCCTCAGTTTCCTCACCTGTAAAATGAGCTGGAGAAGGAAATGGCGAACCACTCCAGTTATCTGGAGAACCCAAACGGGGTCACAAAGAGTTGAGCACAACTGGAAAATGACTGAACAACAACAAATTATCCTATTGTTAGAAGACACCTCTGCTACTAGACCAATAGCAATTAGTACCATGGCAGACACTTATTAGGCACTTCATAAATGCTTATCGATTGATTGATTGACTAGTGAGAGGTATGATGCTAGACTGGGCTTGTTCTGGGTTTAGAGTCAGGAATAACTGGGTTCAAATCCTGACCATGGGCACATTATCTAGCCTTCCTGTGCCTCACTTCTTTGTCCATAACTTGGGTTTAATAATATTTAGCTCTGGAGGCAGGTAGATGGCACAGTGGATAGAGCACTGGCTCTGGATTCAGGAGGACCTGAGTTCAAATCTGGCCTCAGACACATAATATTTACTAGCTATGACCCTGGGCAAGTCACTTAACCCCATTGCCTCACCAAAAAAACCCCAACAACAACAATAATAATAATAGTAATATTTAGCTCACAGAGTTGTTGTGAGGTAATGTGTCCTCCAAAAACATACATACTATATTAATGTCCATTTCCCTCTACTAGATCATCGGTGCTTTCTGGTTAAGAACTGATTATTTTTTGTCCCAGCAACTAGCATAACACTTGGCACATAGTAGGGTATTAATCAATGCTTGTTGAATTGGATTGAATTTAACTTAATTGAGCCAGAGATCATTATGTTTGAGCTGGCCAAATCTTGTTGATTCATCTCCAAAATGCCTCTGCAATCCATCACTTCCTTTCTATAGTCAAGTTAATTCAGGTTCTCTCTACCTCTCCCCTAGACTATTGTAATTCGGTCCTAACTAGTCTATCTGGCCTTCAGTCTTTCCACCCTCATATCCATTCTTTACCTCTAGCGCTTAGCACAGTGCCTGGCATATAGTAGGTACTTAAGAAATATTTATTGATTGATTTACAGCTTTGTGAGATTGATCAAATCAGTCCTCTGCTCAAAAATCTTAAATTATAATTAATTTATAATTTATAATAAATTAATAAATCTTAAATCTTGCTTTTTCCTCTCTTAATAGTCTGTGAACTCCCAGAAGGTAGAGAAGCAGTGTCCTATTTAAATCAGGTTCAGGAATTCTCTTCCCCACAGCCATATCTGCCTTATATAAATGCTGGAAGGTGGAATGCTGGTAGGTGGGTAGAATAGCTACCAAGAATGCAAACTCTGCAAAAGCCACTAGGTGGCACCCTAAACTTGAGTTGCTCCAGGTCCCCTTCAGTCTGCCGACAGAAGTAGGAATGGTCGGTCTGAACCCCTTTTTGCATCCCCACTTCCAACCTGATTCTTCCATCTATCACTGTGCTCGTGTGAATTGACTGGCTTATGTTCCTCAGGTTCCCTTATTTCATTAAGTTTGGGACTGAAAATTTAAAGATTATGACTAATTTCCTAACTTTTATCAGAATGGCTGTCATCCCATCAAGAGATCTGGGGGGTAGGGGTGAAGGGAGATATAGATACAAAGAGATAGACCTAGACAGTGATCTTTTGTTTCTGATGAAGGGATCAAGAGACTCAATGAGCTGAGAAGATGGAGCAGAGAGAACATAGTGATTGTGGTGTAGCACAAAAAATATTAGACATACACCTTACATCTCTCCATTGACCTTTGAGTAACATAACTGTGGTTCTTTGAACATGGTGGTATTCCATGATTCAGAGCTAAATAGTATCACTGGAAGAATATACTCAGAGAATGTCATTGAAAAATATTAGTACTTAACAGAAAGGGTTTTGTTTCAGGTATAACCTTGGGTTATTGAAAGCACTCTGAAATTTCCTAAATTCAAACCGACCTTTTTTCTCCCTCCTATGCAGTTCTGAGGCCAGGATGTTATTCACTAAAGTGTCCATACAAGAAATACGTACTGATGAACCGTCTCAGCTGTCTGTCCATCCAACAGCATACTATAGATTTAGACTTGGGTTCTTAACTTTGTTCTATGCCATGGCCCCTTTGACAGTCTGTTGAAACCTATGGACCCCTTCTCAGAATAATGTTCCATAAGAACACTACCTACATAAAATACATAGGATTACAAAGGCAACCGATTATATTGAAATAAAGTCATCAATTTTTTTTTATTAAAACAAGTTCCTGGATCCTAGTGTGTTCTACCGTGAAATGAGTAAAAGGTAACCATAAGAGGAGAAACAAAAAGCTTGAATAATCCACAGACTGAAGAATCAGTTCCTGAATAACCAAGAATTGGCTGTATTAAACTGTTCTCAAACTGTTTTATTAAATTGAAACCTTAAATCACCTAATGTAAACTCCTGCTGTACATCATTCTATTGTTAATGCCTTTGGGATTCCTTTCACAAATGTTCATTCTCCTCCTGTGTAGATTTAGATGTTGACAATTGCTTCACTGAACACTTCTGTAATATTTAACCTTGGTTATAATAAATAATCTTCAATCATGATTTTTAAAAAACAACTTCTGCTCGAGAATTGGTGTTCTTCATCTATTTTCATTTTTCCTGGGTGGATTATTAGGCTGAACCCTTTTAAGTGACTGTGAATCTCATTTAGAAGGCTACAGAACCTAGACTGAAAGGTGCAAAAAGGTGTTGTTGACTTAAAAAAAAATGCTAATATAAACCTTCCCTCCAACAAAGCCTTGAAGTCATAGCAATCTAACTTCCATTCTAGAAATTACTTTGTATTTGCTTTGTGTTTTTAAGCAGTACTGGTCATAAGGATTGGCCAAGGGCAGGAACTATTTCAGTCTGTCAGTCATTAAGCATTTATTAAGCACTTTCTATGCGCCAGGCTGCGTGCTAAGTGCTGGGAATATATAGAAAGATGAAGGAACCCTCAAGGAGTTCATATTTTGATAGAGGAAATAACTATACAAATAATTATATTGTTCTTGAGTAGGACTCTTTGAGATTTGCCATTTCCTTCTCCAGCTCGTTTTGCAGATGAAGAACTGAGGCAAACAGGGTTAAGTGACTTGCCCAGGGTCACACAGTAAGTGTCTGAGGCTGGATTTGAACTCATGAAGATGCATCTTCCTGACTCCAGGCCCAGCACAAATTAGGATGAGCTAGAGAAGAAGGGGGATGCTTCTGGGGCATTAGTGTAAAGGTGACATGAGAATCTCTGAAAAGGAATAAAACTTCTGTTTGGAGCAAGAAACAGACCAAAATATTTCAAGTTCAGTAACTGTGTTTTATTGCAATTTCCACTCTTGGGATAGTATGTCTGTATCTCTATGAGGAGATGAAGTTTCAGGAGGGTAGTTACCAGCTAGAACTAAGGAGTTAGGGTAAAATTTGAAATTCAGATGCCTGAATTTGGGTCAATATCTAAGTGCATGAGAACAGAGTAAATCCACCTATCTTACACCTGACCCTGGGACACATTTCTCCCTTTCTCTCTAGGGCCATGTATACACTCCCAGACCCCACTGGAATCTAGGTTCTCAGGGATGATTTTGGTATCTGGGAGGGACATTCCAGGAAGAGTTGGGAAGGCGGAGGGCTCCAGGGTATCGGTTATTAATTCCCCACATGTTCCCTGGAAATTGATTATACTTCCCCCACCTGTTACCTGGATACACATTGTTACCTCCCCAGCTGATACTTGGATACCAATTATTAACTCCCCAAGTAGTACCTGGGTATCTAGTGTTAATCCCCCAGTTGGTACCTGGATATTTATTATTACCCCCCCAGCTAGTACCTGGATACTGATTTTGGTTCCCCAAGCTGGTACCTGGGTATTGATTGCTAATTCCCCAGCTTCCCACAGGAAACCTAATGGGCCTTCCTCCCCGACCAGTCCCAAGACCCTGACTCCCCCAAGACACTGCAGGGTTGATGTCCTGAGTACCCCACGGGTGACCAGGCAAAGGCTTCTGACGAATTCGGTTGATGCGGGACCAGGGAGAGCGTCGGGTAGGGATTTCTGCCCGAAGCCCTAGAGGATCAGAACGGGGAAGTGGCTCAGTGTCCTTAAGGAGGGACAGGGTGTCAGGGGAAGAACTGACTGAGCCTGGAGGGGTAGCTGCTGTCTGGGACCCGCTAGCCACAGAGGGCAAAGCATCAATAGGGTGGGAAGGACTGTCAGGCATAGAATCATCATATGAGTGAGCCATCAATTGCCAAGTATCATCAGAAGGCAGGGGGCCCTGGACTGATGCACCCTTATCCGGCAGAGATCCTTGGAGCCTAGAATTCCCAAGCTGCCAAGAGTAGTCAACTAGAGAGTCATCGGGCCCCAAAGGAACAATAGTCTCTGAGCTATCAGACAGAGGATCTGGTTTGAGCCAAGGATGGTCAGGTATTGAGGGTCCCAAGGGTTCTGCCAAGGAAAGGTATCCAGAAAGCAAGGGGTCAAATCCCAAGTCCTGCAGGGTTGTTTCCTCGGTCCAGCTGATGCTCCTGGCAGAGAAAGCTGGGGACCCCAGTGGGGTGAAGTAGGAAAGAAGAGGGAAATGGGGTAGGTTAAAAAAGAAAACAGCAAAGGTTTCTGGTCTCAGAGCTTTCCCCTTCCTTAATTCCTGCTCCCTACAAGGACCACCTAGCCTCCTAGTTCAGATCTTCACCCCCACTTTCCTCAAGCACTCAGATGTTTTGTAACTCCTTCCCACATTCTACCCTCCCTTCCAACTCCTACTTGCCCCCAGAGACCCAGGAATAAGACACTCCCCTATCCTACAGACCTGGATTCTCTCTCTACAGCCCCTGCTTCCTCCAAGGACCTAGGTGTTCAGCCCAATGACCCCCATACCTGGGAGATGAAGACTGATCATGAGCAGACCCAGGAAAGCCCAGCTCCAAGTCCTATGGTCCTGCATCTCTTCCGCACCTTGTATCTGTCTCCTGTAACCCCAAGAACTGCCAGCACTTTATCCTCTTTTTAAAAAGGGAGGTGGCATGGTGTAAGAACAGGCCAGGCCAGTGATTTAGGAGGCTATAAATCATACATTCCTCTCAGATCCCTAATCCAAGTAGTGGTGTTTAAGTGTCACTTGGATGCCCCAGGGAGAATAAGGTGTTTCCCACATTCTGGCCCATCCCAAACTCTGAGCCTTTGAGAAGGTATCCCAGCTCTCAATGTCACACAGGGGTGCTCCAGCGCTAAGAGAACCTTTCCCCAATCCACCCCCAGACTCACCCACTCCTTCTCTGGTCCCCACTTCCCTGGCTATGAAGACTCTCCAATTCTCCTCACTCTTTCCGTCTTCTCTATTGTGCACAAGAAAGCTCTCTTTCTCTCCTTTTCACACAACTTCACACACACACACACACACACACACACACACACACACACACTTCTCCTTCTTCCTGTCCCTCCCTTACCTTCCTCAGGTCACCTAGCCTCTCCCACATACCTCCTACTCTCCACCCTCAGTCCCTTCTCCCCAGAATATGACAGTCTTAATCACTTAATAACTAATAATTCCTCCTCCTCCCTCCATCATTCTTTCTTCCCAAGAGCCTTCTTTTCCTGCAGTGATCACTCCTTTCCCATCCCTTCCCCAGGAAAGCAATTATCTTTCCTTCTCTTGAAACATGAGAACATGTCTCCCTCTGAGGGGGAGAAGATTACCCTAAAACTCAGAAGGTAGGGAGAATGGGCCAAACTAGGCCAGGTGAAGACAGGACAAGATACAATCTGCTTCAATTCTCCTCTAGCTAACTGTCACCAGGCTGGAACCTTTCTTATTTAGACCTGGGATCTAGACTTCCTACTCAACCACCCTCACCCTAAAGTGTTTCCTCCTTTCTAGTCTTCCTCTCCTAACTTTTGGGATATGTCAGCACTCTGGGCTTCCTGTTCATTGGCCAGGAATGTGGTCCTGTGATTGTTTTTGTCCCCATATGGATTGGTATTCAGATCTTTCCCATGGGCTCAGCTGTCCCTGGAATTCAGGTAATCTCATCCTTGGCCTCAGGTGAGGATGAAGTCTCTAGAGGCAAGGTGACTTCAAGTGGGAGGTAGAAACAAGCTCCAGAAAGTCTTTGTAGGGAGACAGGAGACAGTCTAAGGAAAACAGGACACTTTTTACCTCTTTAGGGGAATGAGGGACAAAAGTCTCTACAGGGGCTAACAAACTTTTGGGGAAATGAGAAGAATTTGAGGTTCTTTGAAGAAGTGTGGAGGACAGTAACCTCAGCAGGCATGGGGCAGGGAACCCAAAGGAGGACCATAGCAACATTAAGAGGACCACAAAAATCACAAAGCCGAAATTTGGTGTATGTTTTATTGATCTACCATCAGCTTTAGGCTTCAGAGAGAGTGGGGAACTGGCTCCATTCTCTAAGGATACCCCGTCTCCCCTCCAGAACAGTTCTGAAGTCTGAGGAAAGGGTAGTTAGGTATGGAGTTGACTGGGGGACTAGGGATAGGAATGGATGCAGTTGGAGGCATTTGGGCTCCAGCTGCTACACCAGGTGCCTGAAGGACAATTTAGTTCATTGTTAAGGTGATAAAATAATTTCACTACTTTGAAGTCCAAAGCAATAGGATGAGACATACAAGCAACAGATTGGGCTTGACCCAATTGGGCTTGACAAAAAAGAGGTTGGGAAGTTGATAGAAGGGATGCTTGGCTAATAGCCAAGATGATAGATGCCACAACTTTGGAGAGAATAAATTGTGTGTTGGGGTGGGCTGGACAATGATTAATTGTCTAAGCAGAAACTTAATTAATTGTCTAACAGAACTTTTTTGGTTAGAAGAGTATTAGAGAGTGAAATTCATTGTCTACAGCAAATGAAGGGGTAGGGTTGGGGGGAGCAAGGGGCATCACCAAGGTGATACAGAGATTTGTCCATATTGGGATGAGGAGCTCTCTTTGAATATAAATAGGAAGTGGAGCCAGCCCCATGCTGGGATCTTTATATTCCTGGAGCTTTCTCCATCATCCCAAGGTGATGGAAGAAGACCGTGTGTGTGTGTGTGTGTGTGTGTGTGTGTGTGTGTGTGTGTGTGTGTGTGTGTGTATACTCAAGGACTCTCAAGGGGCCCTCCTTGGGGCAAGAAAACCTCAGGATCAGCCAACTGTGGCCCCAGTGGCTTCACTTGGGCCAGAAGGTCCCGAATGGAACGGCAGGGGATGCTTCCAGAGCTAGAACCACAGGGCTTGGCCCCTGCTGAAGGATCTAGTTGAGGGGAGCCCTCAAGACTCCCACTCACTTTGGATCCAAAGGAAGAAGAGGACAGGGACCCACAGGGTTTGCCAGAAGAGGTAGAGCCACTCACACAAGGCTGCAAAATCACATTTTTGCTACTGAGGGAGGTGGAGCCCACGGAGGAACAGGGCCCTTTGGAGTCCTGGTAACCACTCCCGCAAGGGTGGGAAGAAATGGAACTGCTGGACGCACTGGAGCTACTGTGAACCACAGAGCTTGAGGAGGAGGAGGAGGACGAGGAGCAGGGCCCCACTGAGATTTGGGAACCAGACCCACAAGGCTGAAGCACAGAGCTCCCAGTCTGGACACCGCCAGTGCCCACAGGCTGGTAAATGACAAGTGGGGAAGAGCCTCCTGAATGGTAAGAGATACTGGAACCATGGCTGGAGATGAAGGGGTTATTGGAGAAGTATTTCCCCTCAGAGATGGGGGGTCCAGCAGCAAAGTTGGGGACACTTGGAGAACCCTTGGGAGGACTCTCCTTAGAGAAGTAGCCAACAGGGTAGATTTTACCCTTACTATAGGTCATACCTGGGATCAAGTAACTGTTAGAGGACCCACCTACCACTTCATAGCTACCATAGGAATTAGAGGAGGTGATAGGGGGGCAAGGCTTGCCAGGAGCCCCACCATTGCTGCACGGAGGCCCCGCTATTACGCGGTTGCCACCAGAACCATGCTGCTCTACCACCACCACCACAGGCTTATGGCCCCCAGATATGGAGTGGGAGCTGGAGCTGGAGCTGGAGCTGGAGGGTGGGAGAGAGCCCCCACTGCAGTGTGAATAAGGATTGTCTGGACCACAGGGTGCTAGACCAGAGATAGACGCAGCAGGACTGCCACCACCGCCATTAGAGGATATCCAAGAGGACTGAGAGATGACAGATTTAGAGGAGCCAGACCCAGACTGGGATGACCAGCTAGATGATAGAACAGGGACAGATTCAGACTGAGAGGAACCAGAGTAGGAGGACAAGGATCCCTGGGAACCACTGGAGCCACTGGAACCACCGCCGGCACTGTTAGAACCACTACTGGAGCTGTGGAAAGTACTAAAGCCACTGGAACTACCACCAGAACCACTGGAGCCACTGGAACCGCTGGAGCCACTGGAGCCGCCGGAACCACTGGAACCGCTGGAGCCACTGGAACCGCTGGAGCCGCTGGAACCGCTGGAGCCACCAAAGCCGCTGGAGCCACTGGAACCACTGGAGCCACTGGAGCCACTGGAACCACTGGAGCCGCTGGAGCCACTGGAACCGCTGGAGCCACCAAAGCCGCTGGAGCCACTGGAGCCGCTGGAGCCACTGGAACTGCTAGAGCCGCTGGAACCGCTGGAGCCACCAAAGCCGCTGGAGCCGCTGGAACCGCTGGAACCACTACTCCCTGTGATACAGGGATCATTGGGAAAGGTGATTCTGGTGGGGTCCTTACAAGGATCAGAGAAGGCCCGGATGCTCTTAGCCAGGGCTCCTGCTGGAGGAAAGGAAAGTACAGTAGAATCATAAAAGTGTCTTCCTTCATCCCTGTTACAATCAATTACTCAGCTCTCTGAATCTTCCCTTTTCTTCCCAACCACCCCTCCCTCCCTCCACACTCCACCCCCCACCCATACACACACACTCCAAAAGTCTAACATTAGGCCTTGATCTCCTGCTTGCTGAGAAGTCACAGGGCTTATGAAGCTCTGAAATAGGCAGGATAAGAGAAAGGTGGCTAAAACCACAGGAGGACTCCACTTTGATATTATGGAACAGAAAGACAGAGACAGAGAAGGGGAGGTGGAGGCAATAGGGGTGGAGAAGAGACTAAGGTGTGAGAGAAGACTGACAGAAAGATAGGGGCAGTGCGGCAAAGAGAGAGATGGGGAAGTAGACCCAGGGAGAAATGAGAAAAAAGGGGTGCTAATGTGTGAGAAAGGACTAGGAGAGAGAAGAGAAAGGAGCCACGGCACGGGGTGGGGGGCGGGCGGAGAGGGAGGAATAACGATAGAGAAAACAAGAAAACTGAGGGATAGATGAAAAAACTGGACTCGTTGGGTTAGGAATGGATCCCTGATGTCCTCCATCTTGCCTCTGGTGATGTTCACAAAGTTAAGGTGGGGGCCAGGACCCAGGAGCATCTAGGCCTGTTGCTTCAGAACCTGCTGATACCAGCCAGACAAGACACCACACCCAAAGACACCCCCATACAGGGACGCCCTGAAACTTCTCCCTCCACTGAGACTAAGGCCCTGAAAGGCACCACTCCTCCATCATTTGCTTCCCCTACTCTCCACCCAGGAAATAAACATTCTGAAGCTTCCATGTCCCTTGGGGAATCAGAATCTGACTTCACTCAGGTCATATATTCCCTTAAGGGCCCAGCACCTCTGGTTTCCTTAACCTCTATTTTGCCCCCAGTTCCCTAAAAGCTCTCTTTGCTCCATCTCCATCTGACAAGCTCAGTTTGCCCTCATTTATCCCTTCTCTTTCTCCTCAAACCACTGGGATTTTCCCCCTCTCCAACCTCCAAGTCCCATTTATGATATACCAGAAAGAACATGACCAGGAGAGAACTAGGTTCTAATCACAGCTTTTATTTACTAGCCCTGTGACCTTAAAGAAGTCACCTCTTAGTATCTATTTCTTCATCTCATAAATCATACCTGCTTAGTAACCCAGAGTCATGAAGAACAAATTAAAATAATGCTAACAACAATGCATAAGAAAATGCTTTATAGAATCTAAAGTAGATTATTATTATTGGGAGCAGTAACATTTCCATTCACTACTTTCCTCCTTCCCTCCAGATCTCCACCACCCCTTGATGTCCCAGGATTTTTGTTTTTGTTTCTCTCATACTTTGCAGGGACCCTTCGACTTCTACTCTCAGTTCTCAATCTCATACAGGTTTCTGATAGTTCTGTTCAATAATATATCCATCCTCCTTCCTTTCATTGATATCTACCCCCATTCTACAAAACCCCTTAACTCCCCTCTAGGAAACCCATTCCCTTCCTCACCTCTTAAGACCCATCCTGCCCACTCCCAAATTCTCAAACCTGCAGAGGCTGACAATTCCCCCCAT